ATCCACCTGTAATAGACAGGTGACTTATAATAGATCCCAAGTTTTTATGTAATCTAGTAGAAACTGGGTCATATTGTTTCAGTATAATAAGAGAATATTAATAGTATTATAATATCTTAAAAAATTATAATTATATCATTTATATAGATTATAATTTATTAATAATAATAATCAATTTTTATTATCAAATTATATAAAATAGTAATTAATTTTTATTATAAAATTATATATTATAATAATTAATATCTATTACTAAATACATATTGAAAAGATAGATAAAAGGTCAATATATAGACCTAATAAACAACTATATAGGACAATACATAAGAATATTATATACCCTTTCTATATATTTACAATTTTATATAGCATTAGCCCAGCCTTGACTGATTAGCTCTCATTAGGGTGAAAAAAGGTTGCAAGATGAGTTTTTCTCTATCAAACTGGTTTGATCAATATAGATAGTCTTAGCATAAATAATATGCATATCTCTACTTAATCCAAATAAAGTAAAGTTGAGCTAGTATTATAAAAAAAAAAAATAAAATAAATATATTATTAAATTATATAACAATGATAAAAAAAAAAACTTTTTTTCATTTGCATCAAATTTTTGAAAAAAATTTTTTATGGTAATAATTTAAAATGTCTAAAAAAAAATAAAATACTCATAAAAAGCCATCTTAACAAGTATATCAAAAAAGTCAACCAGAGCAAAAGACCTGACAGTCAGCTATACAGTCAAAAGAATTATTATAGACAGTGGGAAAATCTCAAAACCACTTTTAAAAATCAAACTCATAAACTAGTTTAACCCTTAAGTAATGCAAAAAAAAACTGAATTTTAGTCAGAAAAAAGAAAATAAAGAAGGCAATAGAGAATATACAAGTTAATATATAGAATCAAAAAACTATCATTTTTAAAAATCATCAACTCTTTTCACTGATTCTTTGACCACACACAAAAAAGACTTTCGCAAGAAGTTTTTATGCTTCAGCATTAATATAGTCTTATCACTTTCTTTAAACCAATTTGAAGGAAACTTCAAGAGTTATCCCTATACCCTCTTCCTCTTGTTTTTACTTTTCTTCAAGCAAAAACTTGACTGCAAGTGACCAAAAAGTCAAGCAACACCCTTCTTACCAATGGCAAGAAAGTTCTGAAAGAAAGAAGAACTAATGTACAGTCGTCTCACACTGTAGAAAAACAATACAGAGTGTTGTTTGTGATAAGAGACTCCTTTCCCACTCTCTTTATCACCTGTTGCACTCTAATAGTGCTCGTTTTGGGGTTTTTCTGGGGAATTTTGTCTACCTCAGTTTGACCCTGAATTTTGAGTAGCACAAAGTTTCTCACATCATGATTGGACAGATATTTTTGCATTAGTAAAAGATGTAAACAAGCTTCTATTGATCACTTCACGTGTCTGAATGCATTTTCTCAGTACCTATAAGAACCTGGGGTCCACTATAAGTCATTAGCTGTGATGCAGGTGGATACAGGACATGAAATCTCTTACGTCATGGATAACACAGAAAGAAAAGAAGCTGGTTCAGGACACATTGGACAGATAATATTTTTTCCTCTCCTCCCTTCCTTTTCCAGCAACACACCATAAGAAACATAAGAGTCGGTATCTTTTTGGGAGATTTTGATACACCCAGTCTCTCATTGGAACCACTCTTCTCGCAAAGCCACAACATCACGTCCATTTGGATAAGATCCAAACACATTCATATAAAAAATTTTTTTCTAAGCGCTAGTGGAGTTAAGGCTCCACATGAGAAATTCCCAACATCGGTGGTACTGGGTAACTCAGGTGAATTCTTGGCACATTAGCCCCCTTTTATGGGGTAGCAATAAGCCACCCAGTGGATTTAGGTTCTAGGGAGTGTTGTGACGTAATAGAGAATTTAATATAGTGTGATTTGCCACATCTTCCATTATTTTCAAAGTTTTGTTTTTGTAAGTAGAAAATCTACACTAGACGGTCATGTAATTATCTTATCCTGGTTGGGTGAGACATAAATAGTTAGCTCTTTGTACTATTCATTGATCTGTAAATCCTTAGACAGTACGGGTAATTATTCATCCCGGTTGTCACCAGATTTTCTTCTTACCTAAATAAAGCCCCCATCGCCATGGCGCAGGGATGAGCTAGCGTCTTAAAAAAAAAAAAAAAAAAAAAAAAAGAATCAAAAAACTATTAAATTAAAAGTGGCAGAACAAGAAAATAACCAGAATCAAGAAATAGATTCCACAGGTATCTTGTCATCAGTAAGGAAATAATTATTGAGACCAGATCAATCTCTCCAATGACAGTAATATCAATAATAACAATAATAAGGAAGGAAGGGAGGAGAAATTCTAAATAATATGTAGTGTATTACTAAAAATAGATTCAGCTATAAAAAAAAAAAATAAAAATTGTAGAAATGAGTCAAACAAACTTACAAGAGATCTACAATATACTTAAACTAGACAAATAGATCTAGAAAAAGTACTGAGACACATAATAAAAAAAAATCCTTTATATAGGAGATAATTTGAGACATCTATCAACTCTGAAGCATATATATATAGAACAATCAATAGGCACATCAATAATCACAACCATTTTGACAACTTTTATGAGGCAATAGCAGCATGCGAGATCAAGATTATTGATAATAATTTTTTCAAATCCATATTGGCTCCATAAATCAGTATCAGTAAGAGTAAAGTCTAATTTATCAGGTCTGGGACATCTCCAATCACTTCAAAAAAACTGATATTACCAACTTATTTTAGGAAAAGACAATAATTGAGAACATCACTTTATAATCAACAGATCCTATATAATTAGGTATAGTATAGTTTAATATAATAACTGCATATAAAAAGCCAGTCCAAAAATAAGTACTCTATAAGAATACCTTTTGTATACAAATATATCCAATAGTTAAAACCTATATAATAAAGAAAAAAAAAAAACTGATATAATGCAATACTAGTAAACCTTTCATAGAAAACTATAGAAAAGAAACTATAAAAAATTATTAAATGTATCAGTATGCAAGCTTGCTATTTATTCTTGAATCACCTATTTCAGAATAAAAGATTTTTGATTTTTTATTTCAAGAATAATCAGGCAAAAAATACTAGCCTTAATCTCAATGGTACAGAACTAGTTTAAATAGAAAGAACTAAAAAACTTTGTTTTAAATATGATACTCAAAATTATGAATTCATCACTTGCTTGATCAATAAAGAAGACTTATTCACAAAAGATGAGATAAATAGATTTGAAATAAAACACTAGATCCAAATAAATAATAGATATCTTAATAATTACAAGAAAATAAACAAAGTTTCAAATAAGTTTTTTAGGTAATTAGAAAGAAAAAAAATATTTCAAAAGAATTGATTTTAATAAGAAGATATTTATAACAAAGATTTTTTAAAGGATATGAAACTTTTATAAAAATAATCTTTTTTTTTTCAAGTAGCATATTTATTGTATATATTTTTAGATTTTTTTTTTGTTTTTTTGTTTTTTCTTTTTCTATATAGTTTTTTAAAAATCAGTTTATTTGAAAGATAATAAGTAATAATAGTTTATTAAAAATAATAATTAAATTAAAAAGATCTTTATCTAAAATTTGATATAAAACAAAATATTATTTTTATGGTTATACTTAAAAACTGACACTTTTTTGAGAATTAAAAGCTGTTAACAAACAAGTTAGCATGAGATTTAGTTAGTTATAATTAAAGATGGGTCCCTAAAGAAGGAGGTAGAGACAAAAGTCAAATATCTCTCACTAGGAAACATTAAAATTTTTAAATTAATAACTATAAAAAAACTATACACAATTGTTCTCCATTATATAAATCATTGATTTATAGTATTTCTTGACTTTTGTTCCTATTGAAGTGAAGAGCTATGAATTTTGTTCCTCAAAAAAGGACATAAGTGATCTGCAAAATTTTATATGTTAAATACTTTAGGGACCCATCATTAGTCATAATATATTTGTCCAATATATTTCTATTGATTTTTATAATAATTAATAAATATACTATGCTATCTTAACTATGGATAATAATAAAAATATAATATATCAATATATTATTTAATTTTTTTTCTATTAATAAAAAAAATTTTTTTATTTCTTGTTATAATTAAATAAAATATCTTTTTATATACTATATATTTTGTTTTAATGCACTAGTTTCCTTATCTCATAAAAAAATCAATTTAGATAGATTGCTTATAATTAATTTTGTTTATTCAGATCATGGTTTACAGATTATTTAAAACATAATATTAAAATAAAGATTATATACAATCCATTATTTAAAATGATACGCGATAATAAAACCCTTACCCCCAAAATCGTACCAAAAGAATTGCATATTAGGCAAAAACGACAAGTCATTACTACATGTTTCGTGCATGTTTAATTATTTTATTAATAATGCAAATAACTCTTATATTCACAAAGATTGAATTATATGATACACTTTATTATTTCGTTTCGACGATGTGTTTTTTTTTAACTGTACATGAAATTGTTTTTAAAGGAGTCAAGTTACAAAACGCTATGACCAAAGAGCGAATGTGGCAAGGAGAGAGGTGGCGAATTGCATGTTACTTTTTTCCATGCAACTAGTAAAATGGCTTTAAAACCAAATTCATCTATTCGTTGCCATATAAAGTTCGAATATAACTCGTAATCTATAAAAAGGTGATTTCTAATCTTGCCCTGACCAATTAAAATAATTGTTCAAAGTTACGTTTTCTTATGTACACATTTCCAAGACGCAGATATACATCACATTCTTGTTCGTTCCCGCTGATAAATCCCAAGATCCTGTGATCAATTATGTACAAAAGACAGCCTTCTTTGCTTAGGTGTTGCGGTATTCGGTGTGAAACCTAGCTCGGGCGAAAGATGTTAGATGTAAACGACGCCTGGAGGCGTTTTTTTTTTTTTACAATTATGTTAACCATGGATTATGAGTTATTATTTCCATATTCAGTCGGTATCTGCTTTTGTGCTAGAGTTGCGATGGAAAACGTGAAGTTAGTGTCGTCTCATCCAATAAAAAAAGAACTACTCTATCCTATCCTTTCTCGAGCACATGATACGCAATACTCACAATAATCCACTTCGGTCAAATAATCTCCCACCTTGATTTCAATGATAGCCACTACGTCAATCTTAAGTTCACCTTTCAAACTCTCCACCAAACTCTTGATGGCCGTTGCACCCAGCTTCAAATCCAATTCCATCTCCCTGGTGGTGATCTCTTCTCCGATCCCAATCACGATCTCATCATTTCCCAAATCTTGATTTATTACCCCGATCAATTCTCCTCCCTCCTTGTCTCCAAATATTTTGTCGGTCTTATTATACGCGGAATAAACACTAGCATTTATCCTAAGTATGCTTAACTGCGTGTCTAGTGGATTGAACAAGTCTATGGTCGCCTTAGATTTTTTGTCGAATAGCGTGTTCAATCCTATCGAAAATCTCGCTTTGGTAATGATAGGTTTCGGGGAGCTTAACCCGGGTAACTGCATATCCAAATTGATCGCTTCCATGGCACTTTGCAACGGAACGATGTTGGTAGAATTCGCGTTACCGCGTATATTAACTTCACTCTGATTTCCACTCAAGAAGTTATCCAACAACACGCGTCCAACCTTCACCTCTTCAACAGTCTTCGGTGAAAATTGGGCATACACCAGGGTATTGAGGTTCTCACCTTGATTCAACGTGAAATTGGGCATTATGGCAGTGCCGATTTTTAAATTTTTAAAAATAAGATCAAACGTTGCACTACAGTTTGGCATGGAAATTTTGACATTGGAAGGATTGAAGAGGGTCACCTCCAGTTGAATTAGCATATGATCTGAAGTTCCACCGATTACCTTTAAGGAGTTTATGACGGTGGGCCTAGTGGACAACCCGTTGAGACCGGTCAATGTGGTCTGTACGGTGAATGAGATTCCCTTGATCTCGATATCGCCGACTGGCGTGGTGGACAATGAATTTGCCGCGCCTTTTAATGTGAGCGAAACGGTCGAATCGGTGGTTAGATGTCTCGCGAATTTACTGAACGCAGTCCTTGAGTTTGGAATTATTTTAAATGGGATGGACGAAAAATTTGAGTGGATTATTCCGGTGGTGGTGTTTCCCGTGGCTGTGGTATATGGAACATCAAGTGTGGCTAACGGTATTGAACCATCAAATACGGTGATCTCTTCTGAAATGTTATTCATGCTTAATGGGAACCCGAAAGGAATGCCAAAATTCACAATTAACGATGACGAGGCTAATGGTGTGTATTGATCGGTCGAGTTGAACTCTAGATCCAGGATGTTCAAAGTGACGCCATGTATTATGGAAACGTGTTGCATGCCAGGTAGAATCACCGACAAGTAAGTTCCTAGGAATGCCGATTGTAACCAAGATATTGGGGCGGTGTAATTGTTCGGTCTGACCAACTTCGCCAGCACGCCAATGGGGACGTCATGCCCTGTGATGAATTTCGAGAATAGGTCGCCAACAGCGGATAATCCTGCGCTAGTGTTTTGAGGTATCAAACGACCATCGAGTAGAAGTTTGTTGGACCCCGGTGTGAGGGTGAAATTTGTGGATGAAACCTGGCCAACTGTTTGATTCCGATAGATAACATCGAAAAATATATCACCGACTTCTATTCCTATTTGCGAAGGGTTCACAAGAGTTGACGAGATTTCAATCGAGATGCCTCCATCCGGGTTTACCGATGGTGCATTGAATTGGTCTATTGATACATTTTGGAATCCTTGCATTCCTGTTTACACGCCGTGATGGAATTAAAAAAAAAAAAATAAGGGATCATTTAAAGAGACAGAAAGGAAAAGAAAAAGAAAAGAAGAGAAAAAGAAGAAAAGAAAAGAAAAAGAAAAGAAAAGAAAAAGAAGAAAAGAAAAGAAAAAGAAGAAAAGAAAAAGAAAAAGAAAAAAGTCGATTACACATACCACCCATTGTAACATACTTGGACAATCGAATTCCATACAAGTGCAGTCCAAGGGTATTAACCTTGGCCCCACCATCTAGGCGCCAGGTGAACTCTTTTCCATTTAGCATGTACTTGCTAAACAACGTAAATGCAGTTTTATTGAGTATAGTGAATGTTTGAGCGGTCTGTATGTTGGCACCTACGGAAGGCTTTGTGACTATTGGATCTAGTGACATATGACCTATCAATGTTTTTTCCCAATAAATGTTCACACCATCCGGCAGTGAGATTGTCGCTTTCAATGGACCCGTTTTCGTTACTGTTCGTCAAGGAGGTTGTTTTGGTATTATGTTAAAATTTCAAGTGAATAACTGAATTCCAACTTGACAAATCAAATTACTACCAACCTCTGCCAGAAACACTCAAGACAAAGTTTTCTTCGGTAACATTGGACAACTTTACATTGTCAAATTGAAGCTGAGATCCATTTACAACATTCTGCGCTATGGCTGGAGCGATCACAAATATAGCTATAGGTATCATGACTATAGAAATCAAAACAAATATTCCGCAGCATATACAGCAGAATTTTCTTTTTCCAAGTCTGTTGCAAATTCCTTTTCTTCCGTTTTCTTTGTTTGGGTCAGCGTCTTCCGGTGAATTTTGTTGTAAGGTTGAGTTATGGTTGCCTCGCCCTGACGAAGACTCTAAGTCACGTGTTGAATTGTCGAAGTTATCTGGGTTAGTGTTGTATATGGGGTGAACTACGTTTATACTATTGCTTTTGGAGCTTCTTTTTGAAGGTGTCTGAGGAATTATGATATTGGAACTTCGTTTTGAGTTTAAATTTAAATTATGCGAAGAATTTGTGAAATTTGTGAATAAATTATCAACAACATTCTGACTACCGCTACTATTCGACAAGGAATTGAGAGAATTTCGGTTACTATTAGAGATGCTATTGTTACTGCTGTTAAAACCATTATTACTGATTTTTTGATTAGTAATAGGGGAATTTATTGTTCCGTAGTTAGGATAGAATGGGATTGGTAACAAGTGTGGTTGAGGTGATTGATTAGTGTCCATTTCACTATCATTAGTGTCCATTTCACTATCATTATTGTTGATATTTTGTGGATCTGAAGATTTATTCTGATGGTTCACTAGACTACCATATATGTCTTCTTCGGATGATTGCTGCGGTGAAAGTTCTATGGTTGGTGGCAATAAAGGAAATAGGCGCCCAGCACCATCTTCATTGTTATCCATATCCGATTGTTCCGTGAGTGATTGAAATTTTGGAAAGAGCGGAATGAAATGGTGTAATAATTTATTTTCATGAAGGGTGGTGACTGCGGTTTATCTCGAGATCTGAAATTTCTTTCTTTTTCTAGATAATAGAGTAGATCGTTTGGCAAATGTATGTGAGATCAGTCGGGTGAAAAAATGAAAGAGGATGATTTGCTCTTTATTAATTCGTCAATAATCCAACAAAGGGACGTCTTGGTTTTTCTTCGGTTGTTTCAATGAATGAATATCAAGTTACAAACAGGTCAGGTCAGGTCAGGTAAGGATTGATATTATTTATTTACACATCGCACACACAATGTCGATGGGTAAAAAAAAAAAAAAGAAAAAAGAAACAAAATAACAATAATTTTGGAATCGCTAAAAATCTTGGGAGTGAGCTAATATTTATAGACGCAGCCTGTTATCGGCATTGACTTGGCGTCTTGTGATTCTAAATAGGACGAAGACAATATCATCGTATGTACGTAACATACCATTAATGCACGAGTTTTTTTTATTTTTTAAATAATGACAAAATGAATATAGTAATAATCCGTGCGCTTATAGTAATATATCCTCAATTTGAATAACAAATACCAATAAACACATAAATATGATGTGCCATCTCTTCGTGTATATCTATATTTCGTTATCCTATTCTATTCCATGATGTCATTCATAAGTTAGTTCTTAGTAAGTAATGTAATTTCGTATTACCAACTAGTCCTCGAACACAAATAATAGTGCTGGTCATACGAGAATAAAATTACACCCTGTTCTAAACACCAATGTTACACCTTTCTTAGAGACACACGTAAGTTAGCATTTTACAAATTTATCCACAATTGGATATTTACCCACGAATCATGAGTTATTTATAAAAATGACGTCTTGGATCATATACTACAGTATATGTATGCGTATATGTACAGTAAATCAACTAATATATAATAGGTATTATACTATATAATTATATTATAGGTTTTAGGTTGTAATAAAATATATAGATATTCAAAATTATCCAAAAAAATTTTTATTTATATTTTATAATTAAAAATTTTTTCTATTCTTAAAATAAAAAATATATAAATTTATCAATTGTTTATATTCTTTTAAAAGTTTTACTTTTTTAAAAAATAATTGATTTATAATAATTATATTTTCAATAATATTCTTAATAATAAAAAAAAATAATTATAATATTAAAAAATATAATATAATATATGAACTTATATTCTTTATTGAATTTTTTAAATAATAAATAAACTTTTATAAAAAAAAATTAAAGTCTTATTTCAATTTTAGTTAAATAAGTTTTTATTTTAATTAAATAAATTCTTTTTTATAATATGATGCTAATTTTAAAAATATAATAAGTAAATTCATATTTTAATAAAAAATAAATTTCTTGAATATTTTAAAAAAAACTTATATCAAAATAAATAGGTTTTTAACATAGTTTAAAATAAAAAATATATATTTTAATTAAATAAATCTCTTTTGAAAAAAAATTTAAATTATTATTATTTTTTTTTTTCAATTTATTGATTCAATAATTTGTCATTATTGGCAATAATTATTAATAAACTATTGATAATAATTTTAATAAATAAAAATATTAATAAAATCTATTAAAAAAATAAAATATTATTATTTAATTTAATAATTTTAATAAATAAAATATTTTTTATTATTTAAATCATTAAATATTTTTTACTTTATTTTTAATAATATTTTATAATAAAAATTTTAATTTTTAAATTTAATTTTAAAAAAATTATTTTTATAATAATATAATAAGTTAAAAATATATATATACATTTATTAATACAAACTTTTTCTACTAATTCTTTAAGTATATATAAAAAATATTTATTTTAAAGTTTTTTAATTTTTTGATTAAAAAAATTTAATATTTTTTAAAAAATATTTTAAAAAATATTTTTAAAGAGCATCTTTATTTATTTATTTTTATAAATCATCTTTTTAATCAAAAACTTGACTTTTAATTATCAAAGAAAATCAGTTGAATATATTTATTATCAATAGTAAAGAAGTTTATAAAGAAAATAATAAACTATGAGATATTTAAAAATCTTTTTATTTTTGAAATAAATTGTTTAGAAAGATTTTTTATAATAAAAAACTTATTTCTTTTCTTATTAACTATTTATATTGTTTTTAAACCTTTTATTTTTGTAGTTTTTTGAAAAATTTTATTTATTTTAATTATATTCTAAATTTTTAATTAATATAATTTTTATCAAATGTAATAAATTAATATAAAACTTATTAGTTTTAAAATATAACTCTTATTAATTACAATTATATATTTTAATAATATTATAGAGAATTAAAAAAAATCTTTAAAATATATTTCTTTAATTGGATAAATTTTTAAAAAATAATTATAACATTAAAAAATAAATAATAGATAATATAAATAATTAATTTCTATTTTTTATTAAATAATTTGAATAATAAAAAACTTTTTTAAAAAGAAAGCTATAATCTTTAAACTTTATTTTAAATTAAAATTTTAAATTTTTTTCTTGTAGATAAAAGACATAAAACAAGATTTTTTATTCTAAAAATTAAATGAAATATATTTTTTGGAATAGTATACAATTTTAATAATTAATAATTAAGTTTTTTAAAAATCTTTTAAAGAAACTTTGAATTATTATTTTATTTATTTTCCTTTTTCTAATATATGAATTTAATAATTTATTATTTTTTTAAATAACCTATATTAATAAATTATTTATAATAATTTTGATAAATAAAAATAAATTTCAATTTATCAATAACATAAAATATTTTTTTTTAAATCTAATTTAAAATATTTAACTGAAACTTTATTTTGTTTAATTTAAACTAGTTTACTAAATTTTTTGTATTTTTTAAATATTATAATTCTTTAACTAATTATATATAAAGATATTATAAATTAATTATTATATAAAAATTTATTTAATATTACAAATATTTATATTAGCTTATAAAAATTTTATATTATTCATTAATAAATAAATACTATATAAAAATCAAAAATTTTAAATAATTAAAATTAAAATATTCATTTCTTTTATTTTAATAAAAAAATATATTAATTATAATAATAATAATATATATATTTTTTTAATCCACAATCATGTCATAATGACATGTCTTTATTGAGATATTGAGAAATACTTAAATATTTTACAGACTTTCACAAAGTGACTAACTTGTTTTTTTTTTTTTTTTTTTTTTAACCCGCTGTCAGGCTAGTTATGTGCGCTTTATTAAACAAAAGTAAACTATA